CCCAGGCCTGACGCGTGGGGCGGGAGGCAGAGCAAACCTGAGCGGGGAAGAAGCCGGCTTGCTGCGCTGGTGGTGGGAGCAATGGGCCCAGCTCAGCCCAACGCAGCTGCGGTGGGGGGAGGGGAGGAGCGGGCCTCCTTGCCCTCTCAGGCCTGGGCCCACTCTTCCCCCACCCCTTCTCCCCCATGTCAGCCCCAAGGCTGCTTCGCCCATTTTCCTGCCGCCTGCTCCTGGGTTTGTCAGGGCTCACTCCTGCTCCCCCCACCTTCTCTCCACCCTTGGACCCGCTCCTCCCCCCTCCCCCCCCACCCGCGGGGGGGGGGGCCCAGCGCCTGCGTCCAGGCCCCCAGCAGCTGGAGGGAAGTGGGGAGTGGGCCCAGACGGGGGCGGGACAGAAGGGTTCTCCCTGCCTGCTCCCGCCCCCCGTCATTCTTGACGGGCAATTGGCTAGTCCATTTATATTTTCCAAATTATTCCTTGTCCCCTTTGTACAATATTCCTGTTTTTTTGATCTACTGCTCTCTAGGGAGCAGTCCTGGTTCCTCAGAATGGGATGGATTAACAAGCTAATTTAGGACCCAACAGGGGGTACAAATGATTAAAATTTTCTCCCAGATTTGCTCTGAAGTTTATTTTCCAGATGAAACAAGACAGAAAGCCAAGTAACACAAGACAAACCACTGAATCATTATACCTTTTGGCAGGTTCGTTTTGGCTTGAGACAGCAAGTTGCTCTGGATCCATTATCACCAGGCGAGTTGGAAAATTACAGCCATCACCCAAGCTACACAGCAAAAGAAAATGAGCCAATTTATTAAAGTCCAAACACAGATTTAGTCACACATTAATAAAATTAGCTTGGTTTTCATATGAAAGCCAAATGCTACCCCAGGCAGGAACTTACACAGCTTCAGGAGCCTGATTCTGTGGGAAAGGGTCCTGGGTACTTCAACCCCGACACAGGGCCCATGTCTGGAAGCAGGAAATCACCCTCCCAGCTCCAGCGTTTCCCCTCCTTCTCCACTTGAATACCCTGCAGAGGGAGACTTCTAGGCGTTCCCTTCTCTGTGCTTGCAGATGCGCAGATTTCCTCTGCCTGCAAACATAGGCCGCAAATTGGGGCGCAATACCCAGGGCCCTTCTCCCGCAGGATTGGGCCCCTGTAGACATCAGCAAAACATATTTGCCACGCCATGCCAAAGAAGCTGTCTGTTTCTAGCCTCATAAAGGTTGGGAATTACACACAGGGCTGGCAGGGAGGCCTCTCTGCCATGTGATCAACCAGTTAAATGCTGGAGGTAGCCTCTGTGGTTGGGGGTAGACCTGTAAATAATGTCTTGCCCATTCTGTCCAAATATACTGCTGTCTATCATGACAGAGTCCCAGTATCACAGATTTTAGGCCACAGATTTTAGGAATATGTACATAGATAATTCTTTGAATGTGGCCAAATAACTGGCTCCTCTCGCGTAGGCTTGTTTCTGTCCATTTCTCATAAGCAGATACTGAACAGATCCAGATGATCTGGCATTTTAAAATTAGTAGAGGCAATAGTGCAGGACAAGGTTCTAGTGGCCACCTACTTTTTACCGGCACTGAATTTTGATAAGGTTGCTTTTAAAGCAACTCTAAACTAAACAGATGAAAAAAAGACTGCAAGAGCATTGTTGGACTTTAACTCTTATTGGTTCTAGATCCTCTTCCTAACACTGGGTCAGCTGAAATAGTTTTAAAACTGATGTGGAGGACTTCCAAATTTCCTTCATGTAATCAGAACCTTGTACATCACGTTATTGCAACACACATTTGATCAAGCTATGGGTATGTGAAAGTTTAGCCCTAAGTGCAATGATAACTGGTTAGCTTACCGATTATCCTTTAGCTTGGTGCAGGCACAGTCTGGCAGGGAAGGGGGGGGAAGGGAAGCTGTACACCCCAGCAGG